GTGGTGGTCTATCCGTATCTCGTTATTACTTACGGACATGGATTATTTAAGATCCAATCATACGTAATTTGTATCTCACAATCACAACCTCTTGTGATTAATAAATTACTGAAACTTGAATTTACGGACTCTATTATTTAATATTATTCATCATAATATTGATTTAAATAACTAATAGATTTTTCCAAAAATAAATGGATTAAAAATATTAAAAGTATTTACAATCTAAATCGATTGACCTAAGGTATAATACTTACAATTTTCACTCTTTATCCAATAACAATTCAAAAGCGTTCAATTAGCGTGTTGCAGATTTTACAGCCCACAATTTTAGATCCCCAACAGATGGCAAAAGAGCTAGTTGTTCTACATCTTTCGCCTCCTCATTGTCCTCATCATGAATTTGTGCGTCCTCTTCCTCGAGTATTTCACTTCCAGTGTCAGTGAAGTCTATATAAGTGGATTATAGAACAAAAAGAAAGAAATAGATTATAGCAGTCAAGAAATGAAAAGAAAACACCTTATTCCCTTTCCCTTTCTTCATCTTCGTGTGCGAAAACTTAGACAAACCTTGAATATTCTGCCGATTTACAACCGCTGATCTCCTCGTGATCATCATCTTCCTCATTGTCTACTGCTGGCGATCTCCAACATTTTCATCCATCCGCCGTCTTCTCGTATTGCGACATCACGATAAATTCATGAATTCTTCTTTCTTTGAATAGATGAACTTAACGTGAAAATGAATAACTGAACGTGAGCGGGAGAGAGAGATATATAATATATATGTTCGTTTTTAAGAGGCGTAGCTTAATTTAACTTCAAGTAAATTTTATTTGAAGTGAATAATTAATTTTTACAATAAATAACTAAATTATTGGTGAAATATGAAACAAGCTTGATGTTCAAATTTACAATAAAAATCTATTTATAACGGTCCGTTTGATTAGATGAATTTTCCATAGAAAATGTCCATTTTCCACCTTTTTGCATGTTTTATTGACCAAATTTTCTTAACAATTGATTTTCCACCTTCATTCCCAAGCGACTAGGTTTTCCACCCTTTTGAGGAATTGCAATTACCATGGGTTTGGTGAGAAAATGGATTTTTCAGCTTTTTTTGAAAATAAAAAAAAAATTATGGCAATAGAAACAAATTCTATCCACAATTGCAACAAATTTTATTCCTTTAATTAATAATTTTCATAGAAAACAAAGCCAAATGAATATCAAAACATCCAAAATTGCAACATTTTCAAGAGAAAAATTTATACAAATCAAACACATTTAATTGACAATTCCCAATAAAACAAGTTTTAGACAATTCAATTCCCTGAAAAATTCATTTTCTTTTTATTCAAATTTTATTCTTGCAATCAAAAGGATCATAAGTTACTTCTTGTCATAAATTAAAATAAAGCTGAATTTATTAGATTGACAAATGACAACAGTCAAATTCTAAATGCATTTATAAATCATCATAACTTAATTTAGTCCCCGTTTGACCCCCATTTTTCTTTCTCTTATTTTTAACCATATATTTTTTAATAAAATAATATTACATGCAATCTAAAAACTTTTGTTTTATTTTTAACCACACAATTTTCATCAATTACTACTCCAAAATATATTTTACTTAAAAAAAGGGGACTCAAACATGCTCTTAGAATGATTTAACTATATGAATGTAACTTTAATAAAATGAAATAATTAAGAAAAACAAAAGGCTAATGATGGTTTCGTCCAAAATTCCATTAATAGGGAGTAACCAAAAAAAAAAAAAAAAAAGACGAGCACAACCTGACATTAGTAAGTGCGATGAGAATATCATAGAGCGAATGCTCTATGGGGGTGCTAATCAAGAATTCCAAAGCTCATGATCTATTTATTGTGAGGTGGATTCAAGGACGAAACTCTTTAAATTTGAAAGAATGATGCACGTGTCACTTTCTTTGGCCAGATCTTTCAATCTTTTCCCTCCAAAAAAAGGGAAAAAACAAAAAAAAAAAAAAAAAAAGACGAGCACAACCTGACATTAGTAAGTGCGATGAGAATATCATAGAGCGAATGCTCTATGGGGGTGCTAATCAAGAATTCCAAAGCTCATGATCTATTTATTGTGAGGTGGATTCAAGGACGAAACTCTTTAAATTTGAAAGAATGATGCACGTGTCACTTTCTTTGGCCAGATCTTTCAATCTTTTCACAATTACCAGCACCTCGATCCTCATTTCTTGAACTAGTAGAAATAAGTATGCTTGATCTTAGTTGATTCAATAGAATATTTGAGGAATAAATAGAGAAAGTTTGATCCATAATTGGTGCTCACGACTGGACCAACGCATGGAAGCTTAATAATAATAATAATTATTAATATTTGTTTGTAATTCTATTGAAGGCATTCAGGGTTTTGATGTTATCTAAATTCCCCCGATTAGAAGAGCACACATACACAGGATAAAATTTCACGTCGTCCACAAGAGCATGCAAAAGTCTTCAAACTTCTCCATCGGCTTAATGAAAAATATCGCTGTTGATGTCATAAAAAAGAAACCTTTTAGCAGCTGTCAACCACTCCAAAAATTTATAGGCCAAACACTTGAGAGTTAGACTCCAACTCACACTAACGAGGACTTTGAGCCTTGTTTTGTGCCATAAATTTTGGCCCTAAGGAAAGGTGCGATGGAAAAATTTCCACATTAAGAGTCTGACCTTTGGTGGCACATTAATCTTCCAAAGGTCCTTCCACCAAGCTACAAGTTTGTTCGAACTAGGTCCAGCATCCACTACTGGCTTATGAATAAGAAGTGACGTGGCAATTATAGATCAATTTAAGAGGAATTTAACAAGGTAATTTGTATTTAATTTCCCGTATCTATTGAGAACAAGTTTGTTCGAACTAGGTCCAGCATCCACTACTGGATTCTAAATAAGAAGTGACGTGGCAATTATAGATCAATTTAAGAGGAATTAAACAAGGTAATTTGTATTTAATTTCCCGAATCTATTGAGAAATGTTTTTGTACTGTATTGTAAGGAATTGCTTAGATCTATCCTTTGTATGAGGGCAAATCCCCTATTTATAAGCCTTCAACAGGAGCTTACCGTCTTCTTTCCCATCATGCTACAATGTCTGACCTTGATTCGTATGTCACTATCTTTTTTCAAGATTTTTGATTGGATGTTGAGTTTAGCCAAAATATCATTTCACTTGGGAAGTAGCCTTTAGTCAAATCATGATTACCTGCTATTTAGACAATCATCCTTTTTTCTTTTTGGTGGGAGGCACAATACTGGTATCGATATCAGATATGACATTTGTCCTTTTAGATTGATTCTTGAGAAGGTGTTGATGTCACTAAGTAACATCTTTTCAATTGAGTAATGATGATAGCCTTATGGCCGAGCTCATTTGTATGGACACATGGTTCAACCTCTTTCTATGACTCGGTTTCGTTAAGCTCTTATTACATAGAGAAGTCTACTTACATAACTTGTCAACTTAAGAATATAAAAATATGCGGAAATTACCTCTGTAAATTCTATATAATTCAGGCAGAAACCCTTTTTTTCTTTTTTTCTTTTTTAAAAGGATCTGAGAGTCCCAATTATATCACAAGTATTTACATTGTTCTCCTCATCATCTTGGTCAACTTTAGTCCCCCATTTAGTGAATAACGAAAAAGGAGAGTTCTGTTGTCCACGAACAAATTAAGGTCGGAGATCCATGTGGAACGCTTTTTTATTACTCTCCACTCAGTCATCGTATATTTTCTATTTCTATATCCTCAATGTCAAAATAATAATAATAATAAATAAGAAAAATAGAGAAAAAATAAACTCGTCCATATAATAATGGTTACTTACAAAAAATTTTGTATGTAAATAAATAAATCCTAGGTGGCAATATTGTCATTCAGACTATTATCTCTTGTTTGGAAGCTGCGGAATATGTAAGGTTTCATTGATATTTTTCTATCAAGTATTTTGGAGGGCTTATGTGAAAAGTGTGCAAGGCTTCCTAGCTTTACGGCTGTTAAAAAGAGGCACCAGAAAGTGTGTCTGTGTTACCTTTCCGCTAAAATACCCTTTGCAATAGATCTTAATTGAAATTAGCTATTGTTCAAGCATCACAAAAATCTCTGGACTAACCTTGAAACAACAATTCTATACAAGCAATAGGCTAGCAAAGGCACTGAGAGATACTTGGGCACCATCCTACGTGATGAGATCATCCAATGAGGAGCCGACACCTCATCTGATGACCCAGCCTCTCCCAATGAGCTGAGGTCACCTCAAGAATTGAGGTGGAAAGAGAGACTCAACACACGTAGGACGGTACCCAAGTATTTCTCCAGTTTCAGATCTCACCAGCAGCAAAAGCATGCATATTTTCCAATTTCAGATTGCTCCCTAGGCCAGGGTTTTTTTTTCCTTTTTATTTCAGATTGCTCCCTAGGTCAGTTTTTTTTTTTAATCGGTAAATGTGTAATATATTGATAAAAAAAATTATGTACAGGTACGCCAGGCGTACTCGGGCCATCAAAGATCAAGTGCAAATACAATTACACCGGGCAAAACAAAAAAACATGTGTACAAACAAAATTAATGTTGAAAACTTGGTGTACAACCCTTATTTCAAACAATCAAATCTCACGTATTTTCTACCCCTGTTTGACAAACAATATTTGATATATTTAGCTCCAGAAAAGCAAACCTTATCAAAAGCTTCCAGCATTTCAGATTGTTGCAAAACCTTTATATTATCCACCTTATTGAATTACACTAATAAGGGAACAATTTTTATTTTTCTCTGAATTATTTACTTCTCGCACTTGTCACCAAGCTTCTAAGCCTCATTTTCTTTATGCACAGCTAACCAAACATGCATGATATGATAAGTACCCCCACACACTCCAAATAATAATGACAATTCTGGATCCACCAGGGAATGGTCTACACAAATTATCTTCCATGAACAAGGGAATCCGACCTTCGAATTTAAAAGAAAGAACAACATTCATTACATCAAAATAAGAAAACAAGAAATATTCATTACATCAAAAACCTGCAATTAACACCATAAACACAGCCTCTAACAACAGTTCTGCTTCAAGTTTCATTAATAAATATCTATCTAATAATGCACATATCAACTTACAAGAATTAGAAATATATGACAGCTTTGGATACAAGACAGAAGATGTTGCAAATCCAGCTATATATCGTTAAAGTAGCTGCTGACCTGAAATGAGCCATTACAATTCATTAGGTTCGCTGCATTCAAGAATGCCGAATATGTGAAAATTATGTCACCAATATATGAATATATTTTTAGGCAAATCATTTCATTTGCATGATCCATAGATAACTTGTAATCACGAAGAATTATATTAAACTTCTCTCCACACATAAAAATATTATAGAACACAAATTAAATACCAAAAGTTTCCTGCAACTCAAACATACGAAGCAATATACTTTAGGTAGCTCATGACATGTCGTATAACCATGTAAACATGTTACATTTCTATCACAGGCTATGAAACTATACCTACAATCTCAAAAGCTAAGGATGGACATGAACCCACCAATTTCTTACACAAGACAGTTTAGTTAGATTTCATTTACAACATAACCTCGATTTAGTTCTCGTTGACTCCATCTTGTCCAAGGGGACTGAACCCCTTGATTGACAGTAAGCTCTCCACATAGGAATAAGCCCCAAGTGGGAAGAATTCATCTTCATGAGTTCCAACTGTCTTCATTTTTCTGGTTTCTACGTCATAAAACATCAGTTTTCCACCTTTATCCAGTACCACTTTTCCATTTACAGTGTTTAGCATGGATCGATATTGTGCAACGCTCCCAACATTAAGTTCAAATGTAAATTTCTTACTCCAAGATTCCTTCCCAACACTGTCACTTTCTATTGTCCACACTTGATATATTCTCCTGTACTTCTGGGGGTTATCACATGTTATCAAAGCAAATTTTTCATTCCAATTGAATCCAGAAAATATATAATTGTGCTTGGATTCAGGCAACGGAATCACCCCTAGTAACTCAGTTCTCATGTCAAAGGAAGCAACTAACATTCTTCCTCTACTCCCCCTGGAAGAATCCATGACAAACCAGTGAACAGATCCCTCCACTATCACGTCACAAACTGATATCCCCCGGCGAAAACTGTAATCAACTTTAATCTCCCTCCAAGACTCTAAATTGGACGACCACACCTCAACCCAGATTCCATGTTCCCCTTCTCTTATATATCTAAACCCAAGGATTACAACCTTGTAATCATTAGAAACGGAATCAAAACCAAACCCCATGGAAAGAAAAGTTGAACGATCATTTATACCAGGTGGGAGTTTCCTGTACTGTCTGGTGGACGGATTCCATAGCCAGATCCTACCTGATTCATCAATTATGCAGAGAACGCCATTGGTTGAGCCCACACACATAATTTCCGAGCCAAAACAGTTGACCCGATCCAGCCCAGCATTGAATTTCTTTATAGGAGAAAAGGTAACAGGATCGAAGGACACAAATTGGTCTTCGTATTGATCAAAAACAAGGATGGAACGCCTTGTCGGATTCGAAATTGAGCGGTTGAGGTGCAAAGAGGCGAAGGTAGGAGATGAGATTAGGGTCCGCCATTGGCGACATACGCACTTGAATCGAAGAAGAGTTTTCACGGGGAGCCTTGAGAGGATCTCCACCCAAACTTCTTCCGGCAGGTATAACTTCTGACTTCTCCGCTTGGGCGCCATTTTTTCAGTTTGCAGAAAAACTAGGGCTTTGTTTATAACGAAAAGATCATTTTCAGGGACTTGTATCAATGCATATGCACATGGGCTTCTGATGTAAAATAAGCCCCGCCGTCTGGGCGCGATCTGTGAAATGGGAGTATCAATTCTTCTATCTCATCAGTCGGCCCCATCTGAAGATATTTTGGTTCCCCAATGCATAGGTCCATGCATGAATTACAAGTTTGCCCATATTACTCCAACTGTACATGGACATATTGAATAGAACTTTTGACCGGTAATGATAAAGAAATTGAGAAGATAATGCATACATGAGGGTCCCATTCAAACGTGAATATTTTTTGTCCACCAAATATTTACACGGAATTTCATTGCAAGAAAATCAATTGGGGATGTGTGACATTATTCATGATAACATTTTTTCCCGATTTTAACGTGAAACGACATCCATTTCTCTTGTCGGAAAACATCATGCTTAATGAGCCCGTCTAATTTCGACCAAAAAAAATGTATGTGTTTATTGTTGTGTCAGGTAATCTCTGAACATATCTCACTCATCTCGTCGTGATTCCAATGTATTCATTTTCGCTGAAGTTTCGTCACGTGCGTTTGGAAGCTCCACTTCTGTTGCGTTGGGGTCTATCTCCTCTCTTAGGAATGCTTCGTCCACCACACCCGCTCGTCGAAGAAAGCTATGAGAGGCCATGGTTGCAATTACAACATGTGTTTGCACGTTGAACGCATAACTTGGCATACGATCGAGTATTTTCCACCGACTTTTCCAAACGCCAAATGCCCGTTCGATGACGTTCCTGCAGGACGAGTGCCTGAAATTAAATTTTTCGCGGGCATTTCGAAAGTTACGTCCGCGACCAGTGTCTCTGTCATAGAATTGTTGAAAATGGTACAATATATCCGAACCCTTATAGGGCGTCATATACCCAGGTCGATGAGCAAATCCCGAGTCAACCAGGTAATATTTTCCAAGTACATGTTGCGAAAACTCAATCTCGGGATTATGTATTGCCCGAGCCAAGATTCGAGCATCGTGGTAGTTCCCCGTTGTACCTGCAAGCACGAATGTGAAGCATAAATTGAAATCACATGCCGCTAGCACATTCTGTATTGGAATTCCTTTTCGTCCGATAAAACTCATGAGCTGCTCCCGTGGAAGGATGGCTGTAATATGGGTTTCGTCAATCGCACCAATGCAATCCCGAAAAATGTGATGCTTGTTTAGATTCGGAACGTGATGCTCGGCATATTTATTGTAGTTTGGATCCGATCGAATTACTCGTCAAGAAAATTCGAGGACCGCTCGAAACACAAGCTTGAAGTAGTGTCCAACGGTTTCCAATGAATGGTTGAAAAGGGTCTACACCTGTCTGTACCCCTTCCCATGCGCTAATATGCAAAGAAACATACCAACATGTTCATAAATTTCTATGTGCTGATGACTACGAAGCCCATACTTGTCACGCAGCATATGTGTGAACCCTTGCAGCATGACGGGATACATGTGGAACTCGACGTAGTATTGTTGAGGACTACAGTTCATTGCGTCCAACATGAACATATGACCATTTCGTGTGAACGGATATCGTGAAACACTAGTGATTTGTTCGCGATAGTATTTCTGAGAGTAATTTCATTCATTTGACAGTACCAAAAGCATCCATAATGTCCACTTGTAATTCTTCCATGAATGCCTTGTCGTCCTGTTCGTCCTCCGCATCGAAGGTCGGGTGGAACTCGCAGGTGAAATCCGAATGTGCCATACGACCACAATCACAATATGATATCCAAGACTATGGCTTTTGCATGTTGTAAACTTCTACTCTATTTATGTGGTTTTTATAGAACGATTTGTCTTTCAAGTTATGGCCAGAGCAACCAATAATTTATGTGAAGATGGGACTGATGTGACCAGTCCACCAACTAATGGAGCACTTGTTTGACCCAAATGTGAACAACATTCAAAAGTTCGTTTGTCTGCACATCTGCTTGTAATCTACAAGAATCAAACTTCTCACACGCATATGAAAATAAAACGTTTCAATTGCAAAAAGCAAACTTAGGCAACTGCCCCCCATACATACTAGACACAAACAAAATGTCGTCACATCAAACATAAACAATAGTAAGAAAATTATAAAACGACCCATGGACATGTATGCAATCTACACAAACATATATCACCGCGGCTGCATTTTCCTATATTCCTGATAGCTCCACTCCACCCAAGCAAATTTGTCGTTTGTATTGTCTTGCATGTCCGGTACCTCTCTATTGGTCTTCTGCGAAAGGAACTTGCACGTGTAAAAGTACAGATCCGTTTGCTTTTGGAGTCAACCCGTAGCTAGCAACTCGCTCATGTATGTCTTCAGGTCGGACACAGCCGCTCCGATGAAGTGGTCAATTTTTGCAGCAATCTTCTCGCTGGCGGAGGTAGCACAGTCCACAGAGTAGGACACGTCCCGAGATGAAAACTTCTTCTTCTTCTCCTTCCATCGCTTTCCGACGGTCTTCCATTTGTCCCCGCTATGCGGGCCAGATTCATCCATAGCCGCTGAGCGCGGTGCGGCTACACCGCCCTCGTCTCTTGAGCCGCTACTCTCTACATCGACTGGGATCTCGTCACGGTGGTCTTCGTATGCACTGTCTTCGAACATGGCGAAGCCAATGTGGCATGCATGGCTAGGTGTGATTGCGTACTTATTGCAGTCAAAAACATCCCCGAATAAAATCTTGTATCGATACAACTCTCGGCAATCCTTTCCCTTATACTCTTTGTACTCTTTCCTCTCTTGAAGCAATACAAAGCAGACGACATTCATATCTTTTGCAAACAAAGTGTGAAAGAAGCAATTACAATTGATTGGAAAAAAAAAATTGGGGTTGCATCTGTTTCAGAAAATAACAACAATGTCAGTCATTCGTACCCATGCACATGAACGTGTAAATGAAATATAAACACAATTACAATAACACTTGATGTTAATGTGAAGTGCATTTTTGATGTTAATGTGAAGTGCATTTTGCAGTTTTTTTGCAGTTACAACTGTAAAAACAAAATTGTTTAGTAGCTGAAGTACACAGTCCATTAGAAGTGAAGACAATTAGGCATATATGTGACACTTACCAAAATACCATACAATTTATTCTTACTCTCTCTTCCAAATTAGGCGCGTATGTTTCGATTATTTTGCAGCAAAAAAAAAAGCCAGTAATGCTTAAAAAACGAGAGCCGATTCTGGATAACCTAAATTTTCCCTAAAGCTAAGTGCCCAAAATAATTAACTCATTATGCAACGAAAAATCAATTTGTACTAGAATTTCAACAAAAAAAAAACTGGTCTACCTTCTTATAGCATGAGGATGTAGAAAGTGGAGAATGGTTAATTAAGAAGAAGAACCCTGTTTTAGCACCGTTTTTTAAACAAGTTTGTACAAGTTTAGAGATAAACGACGTAAGTAGCAGATTTTATTAACTGCCAACCATCACTCTTGTTTGTAACTCATTAATTTCATCCCATGTAACTAACAATATCTCCGCATACTTGGGCAACCCAAAGTTACCACTGATTACAAACTTTAATTCTAAGAAATTCATAGTCATTTGGATCGATCTAAAATAAAAAAAAATGCATTTCCCATCAACTTATTTTCAATATGCATGCACGTGCATTTGTTTTTTTGTTCATTTCCTAAAAATTTGTATTAAACTTGGGCATTTATTCATGAAAAATAATCCTTCAAGAACACCAGGAATCAATGAGGTCTCTCGAATTTGGATATCAATAACTCAATTTGTTCTGATACTAGCTATTATTGATGAGTATATGATGGTACCTTCATCTTTTGACCCCACCACTCTGTCGAGGCGCTGATCAAGCCAGTGGACGTGGCGTTGACACGTACGCAACGCCACTGCTGTTGATCAATTCTTCAAATCTCTTGTGTTTCAAGCAGAGTGCATCCCATCGATTTTTCAGCTGTTGCTTGCTCCAATTGTGACTGGAGTTGGTGTTAAATAAGAAAACCAATGTCTGCCATCCGTATTTGGTGAAGCACTTCCCATTTCGGTGTCCATCAGCAATTACGGTCTCACAGGTGGCAACAAAAATTTGTGTCTCATAGTTAGTCCATTGTGCATGCTTACGAGGCCCCGATTCACTGTCAACATGATGGGCGTTTGATGTGGAGGAGTTCGGGTGTGGGTGGTAATTTGGCTGCTGAAAATTGGGAGGAAAAATGTTATTCTCCATCAACAGAAGCAACCGTTCATGGCAGTTTACAGTCAACACAAAAATCAACAAAATGTTGGAGGCCCTCTACCGTACCGGAGAAACGACGAGATCCATGGTAGTTCTCTCTCAGTGAGCAGATTATTTTCCAACAACTTACATGACCGTGTGTGTGCCGGAGAAACTGGGAGTGCCTTTTGCAGTTCAACCTCAAGTGCAAATGTAATTTTTTTATGTCAGACCCTTGTGAATCAAATAGTCCAAAGAAATGTATAGATTGGTGACGAGTGAGGAACGTGCAAGGGGAACGAGTAGAGATCGAAGTCATAGATGCTTACCTACATGTTGCACGGCAAAGGGGATCTATGGAGACGTCGATTGTGACAGTGGAGTCGCTTGTATCGATGGCCGAAGAAGGTGAATGTCGTCAAGACATATTGGGGGTTGAAGCTGTTGGCAGGGGTGCCATCAACCCGGCGCTACAGTCGTCAGAGTAGGATGGGGACGATCGGGTTGTTACAGAAACTGTTGCTGGCTGTCGGAAGATTATTTTCTCACCGTCGAAAAACAACTGTAGCAGATATTGCTACCGGCGGAGAGCAAGTAGTGTTGGCAGCTTCGTCTAGTGGAGGAGTGGTGTCGACAGCTTCGTCCAGTGGAGGAGTGCAAACTGAGCATCTCTTGCTTTTTCATTTCGCAGAAGACGGAGAAAGGAGGGTTGGTTTGGCGTTTTAATTGTGGGGGTAGAAAGGTGAAAAACCAACTGACATGGGTGTCAGTCTATTTGATTCCCAAATCAGTAGAAGGTGGAAATGTGGCCGTTGGACGTATCAATGGTTAGAAAATCACTTAATTTTGGCAATAAAGTGTGCCCAGACAAAGCCTAAGTAAC